GCCCTCCAAAAAGCCCTCCGGGCCCCTTGGAACCCCCGAGACCTCCGAGGATGTGACTCTTCCAATCCGACGCATCGCCGATGCATCGGCGATCCATCTTGGCGGCGTGCACAGGGGGGGGTCAGGGGGAGGGGGGAAGGCTTCCTAGAAGGGGGCTGATTCTCAGAAGGCGCCGGCCCTACGTCCACAGACGAGGCCCGCGTGCCGTCTAAGAAGCAGGGGTGTTCCTGAGAAGACCTCCCCCCTCCCCCTACCCCCCTCTGCGCGTGGAAGACCTTCCCCAGGACCCCAGGCCTCCGAGGACATGACTCTTTCAATCCGACACATCGCCGATGCATCGGCGATCCATCGGCGATGCGGCGCGATCCTCCGGCCCCATCTACTCCGACCCCATCTGGGAGGCCTAAAGCTTCTGCTCTGGAGCACGGGGGAGGAAGACCATCACGAACTTTGGAGGCGGCCAGGGGGTCTGACCTGGCTGGGCCCCCAGAAGATCGGCCCCCAAACCTTCGAAAATATGATTTCTCACTCCGGCGATTTTTCATCGACCTCGGCCTCTGCATGGGGCCCAACATCGTGCCCTGGGGCCATCCACAATGGAGCTGGGACGAACAGCGACCCCCAGGGAAGGGGTCCGGACTTGGGCGATCGCGGATGGAAAAAATCAGATCGGAGGATGCCTGGGATCGGTTCTTCATCCGGAGCCGTTCCTTCACGGTCCAGGGACCCCCTGAGGCCCCTCGGAGGCCGACGATGACCAAAATCATGCCGCCGTGATCCTTTCGCAACGCGAGGATTAGGTCGGGCGTGTCCCCCTACAAGGGGATATTGGACGAAAAATGAAAAATACCCAAACAGCATTCAAAAAATATTCAAAAATGATCTTAAAAATCGTCCCGAGACTATTTTTTACTATTTTTGAATTCTCCCCCTGAGGGACAGGCCAGACTTCACGCGAGGAAATGGGGGCCCTCTGTCTCTTCAAGGCCCCGTAAACCCGGACACGCTAGACCCGGACACCCAACATCCCTTGAAACCAAGTCTCCCAGGCGGCGGCACGAACAAAATACCGCACTGGAACGCTTCCAGAGTAAACCCGGACACGGGCCCTGAAAGTCTAGCAAGACCCCCCTAAACCCGGACACGGACCCGAATCCTGCGTTGCAGCAAACCAAAAAACACGGGTGCTGGAAAATGTGACTTTGCAGGAAAGGGTGCCGTTTCTTTGGTTTTCCGTGTCCCGGTTCCTCTGTGCCCTGGCCTCTGAGGGCCCCCTGCCCCTGCCCGGGCCTGCTTGGCCGGGCTGCCGCCCTTGTCGACCTGCTCGTTGCAGCAGATGAACTCCTCGATGCTCCCGGGCCTGGACACGCGACGATGCCGCGGCGGAAGGGGGAGGTCGAGGGAGGGGGGTGGCGGGGGGGTGGGGGGGGGGGGGCGGGGGGGGGGGGGCTGGGGGGGGGGGGGGGGGGTGGTAAGACAGCGGCGTGCGTGGGAAGCGCCATCCTCCACCCTTTCATCCAAGAAGAAACCACGAACAACAAAAACAACAACAACCACAACAACCCACAACACCAACAACAACCAACAACAACAACAACAACAACCAAAACAACAACAACAACAACAAAAACAATTACTAGCACGTGGGGACACTCCGTTCTCACCAGTGCCAGGGTTTTCATAGGAGGCGGGCAATACCCCCACTTTGTGGGGGGGCCGGTTCAAGCTCTACCAATTTCCAAACGACTCTTCGCCACCACCCACACCCAGCTTCCCGCCCTATGACGTTCGGACACTTCACTTCGTGGCATGCGGACGACCGTGGCTACGATTCAGGGCCCCGCGGCCGACGACGACGGCGTGCGCGCGCGAAGAAAAAACGAATGTGTCCCGCATGGTATTATTTGACAGGGATGATGGCCCTGGCAGGTGCGCAACCGTTGTCGCAGAAGTTCGAAAAAGTTGCTCGCAAAAGCCCGTTTGACAGAAATGTTTAAAAAGTGTTGGTTTTCTTACGAATCCGCAAGAGCGCGCGGGATGAGATTTTGATATTTTTTGTTGAAAAACCATTGGTTTTTTGATGTTTTTATGTTAAAATCGCTCCGAACACTAAGCTTTTGGAAGGATTTCGTCTTGCGCGCGCGAATGTCCACTTTACCTTATTTTTTGCAAGGGATTCTTGAAATTTGATTATATTAGAAGAAGAAATGTTATTTTCTATTGTTTTTTTGCAAGGGAAAGCGGATTACAACAAAACAACCGGATCCTGTACACACCCTCTTTTCTGAGGCTTCCTCACGAAAATGATGAAAATGTAGTTGCGGCCTAGGCGGCGCAGGGGGGGCGCGCACCAGGGGGCCCAACAATAATTATTCTTTAGAATAAATAATGTTCAACAACAACAACAACAGCAGCAACAACAACCACAACCACAACAACAACAACAGCAACAACAACAACAACAACCACAACCACAACCACAACAACAACAACAACAACAACAACAACAATAACAACAGCAGCAACAACAACCACAACCACAACAACAACAACAGCAACAACAACAACAACAACAACAACAACAACCACAACCACAACAACAACAACCACGACGACGACGACGACGACGACAAAAGCAACAACAGCAGCAGCAGCAGCAGCAACAACAACAACAACAAAAGCAAAAACATGATCACGAACTTTCGGAGGTCCGCGCGGGTCTCTTGGATCTGCGCGCCCCCTGGCGGCGCTCAGCACGCCAGAGAGAGGGGGGGGCCCAGCGCCGATCCAAGAAATCCGCGAGGAGCTCCGAAAAGCTTCTGCTTCTGCCCATGCGTCTCCTTCGAACTCGCACGAGCGAAGCTGCTCGCTTGGCGCCGGCGCCGCCGAGAGGCAGCGAAGCCGCCGCCACCCGTGGGGGGGGGGGGGGGGCAGCGCAAGCCTGGAGGGGTCGTCCCGTTTCGTCCCCCTTGTCCATCATCTGGTCCCTGAAATTGGAATGTTTCGGTGGCAACTCATGGGAGCCTTCCATACCATCTTGTCGGCTCTTGCGAACCGGTTAACTGACGCAAATCGACGCTAGTCGACACTAATCGACGCCAAATCGACGCTAATCGACGCTAACCGACGCTGAATCGGCGCTATCTCATCGACTCCCAGACGCTAATCGACGCTCGTCGACGCTAAAGACGGAATTACGAGGGTATACAAGGCTCCCAGGACTTGCTACCGAAGGAGGCAGCGAAGACTGACGGGGTTCCTGCCCTCACGCTTTGAGAACGGCAGGCTCGAAGGGCCTCCCGCGCAGGGGCGTGGAGGAGGGAGCCAAACAGGCCACAGTCGACCCGTACCATAAGGATGCACGATAATGATGCAAGGGCCTTGGAAGGCCGTTCCGAAGCTTTCCGGGCGGGGCGCAGCCAGCGAAAGTGGCCAAGGATGGACCGAGGAGGCGAGGACGCAGGGGTACCGTTTCGAAGATTGCCCATCCTCGCTATGAGGGTTGACTGTACTACGGCAGGTTCGTGTCGTGACGACTGGCTTGGTCTTT